ACCCATCTATATTTCTGGAGTAACAGGAGGATCCCAAGAGTTGACTGTGCTGGAGGCTGAAATCAGCCTGACTGGGAGGGAATGGCAAAAGCACCCTATTGTGACTGGTCCAGAGGCTCCATGCATCCTCGACATAGACTACCTCAAGAGAGGGTACTTCAAAGACCCAAAAGGGTACCGGTGGGCTTTTGGTATTGCTGCTTTGGAGACTGAGGAAATTGAGCAGCTGTCCACCTTGCCTGGTCTCTCAGAAGATCCCTCTGCTGTGGGGTTGCTGAAAGTTGAAGAACAACAAGTGCCAGTTGCGACCACAACAGTGCACCGGCAGCAATATCGCACCAACCGAGACTCAGTGATTCCCATCCATCAGTTGATCTGTAGACTGGAGAGTCAGGGAGTGATCAGCAGGACCCGCTCACCCTTCAATAGCCCCATATGGCCAGTGCGAAAGTCTAATGGAGAATGGAGACTAACAGTAGACTATCGTGGCCTGAATGAAGTCACACCAACATTAAGTGCTGCCGTACCGGACATGCTAGAACTTCAGTATGAACTAGAGTCAAAGGCAGCCAAGTGGTATGCCACAATTGATATTGCCAATGCATTTTTCTCAATTCCTTTGGCAGCAGAGTGCAGGCCACAGTTTGCTTTTACTTGGAGGGGTGTCCAGTTCACTTGGAACCAACTGCCCCAGGGGTGGAAACACAGCCCTACCATTTGCCATGGACTGATCCAGACTGCACTGGAACAGGGGCAAGCTCCAGAACACCTGCAATACATTGATGACATTATTGTGTGGGGCGATACAGCGGAAGAAGTCTTTGAGAAAGGGAGGAAAATAATCCAAATCCTGCTGAAAGCTGGTTTTGCCATAAAACGGAGTAAGGTCAAGGGACCTGCACAGGAGATTCAATTTTTGGGAATAAAATGGCAAGATGGACGTAGACAGATCCCCACAGATGTGATCAACAAGATAACAGCAATGTCTCCACCAACTAATAAGAAAGAAACGCAAGCTTTCTTGGGTGCAGTGGGGTTCTGGAGAATGCACATCCCAAATTACAGTTTGATTGTAAGCCCTCTCTATCATGTGACCCGGAAGAAGAATGATTTTAAATGGGGCCCTGAGCAGCAACAAGCCTTTGAGCAAATTAAACGCGAGATAGTTCACGCAGTAGCCCTTGGACCAGTCCGGACCGGACCAGATGTAAAAAATGTGCTGTACACTGCAGCTGGGGAGAACGGTCCTACCTGGAGTCTCTGGCAGAAAGCTCCAGGGGAGACTCGAGGTCGACCCGTCGGCTTTTGGAGTCGGGGATATAAAGGATCTGAGGCCAGCTATACCCCAACTGAGAAAGAGATACTGGCAGCCTATGAAGGGGTTCGAGCTGCTTCAGAAGTCATTGGCACTGAAGCACAGCTCCTCCTGGCACCCCGGTTGCCCGTGCTGGGCTGGATGTTCAAAGGCAGGGTCTCCTCTACACATCATGCAACTGATGCTACATGGAGTAAATGGGCTGCACTAATTACACCACGAACTCGAATAGGAAATCCCAGTTGTCCAGGCATTCTAGAAGTCATCATGGACTGGCCAGAGGGCAAAGATTTTGGAATGTCACCAGAGGAGGAGGTGGTGCGAGCTGAAGAGGCCCCACCATATAATAAACTGTCAGAAAGTGAAAAGCAGTATGCCTTGTTTACTGATGGGTCTTGCCGTATTGTGGGAAAGCATCGGAGATGGAAGGCAGCTGTATGGAGTCCTGGACGACAAGCTGCAGAAACTGCTGAAGGAGAGGGTGAATCAAGTCAGTTTGCCGAGGAGAAAGCCATCCAGCTGGCCCTGGACATTGCTGAACGAGAAAAGTGGCCAGTACTTTATTTCTATACTGACTCATGGATGGTGGCAAATGCCCTGTGGGGGTGGTTGAAGCAATGGAAGCAGAGCAACTGGCAACGCAGAGGTAAACCCATCTGGGCTGCTGCACTGTGGAAAGATATTGCTGCCCGGGTGCAGAACCTGGTGGTGAAGGTATGTCATGTAGATGCCCATGTACCCAAGAGTCGGGCCACTGAGGAACACCAGAACAACCAACAAGTGGATAAAGCGGCTAAGATTGAAGTGACTCAGATGGACTTAGATTGGCAACATAAAGGTGAATTATTTTTGGCCCGGTGGGCCCATGACACTTCAGGCCATCAGGGCAGAGATGCAACATATAGATGGGCCTGTGACCGAGGGGTGGACTTAACAATGGACACTATTGCCCAGGTTATTCATGAGTGTGAAACATGTGCTGCAATTAAACAAGCCAAGCGGTTAAAGCCTCTTTGGTATGGAGGACGATGGTTGAAGTATAAATATGGGGAGGCCTGGCAGATTGACTATATCACACTGCCACCAGCCCGCCAAGGCAAGCGCCATGTGCTTACCATGGTGGAAGCAACCACCGGGTGGCTGGAAACATACGCTGTGCCCCATGCCACTGCCCGGAACACCATCCTGGGCCTTGAGAAACAGATTTTGTGGCGACACGGCACCCCAGAGAGAATTGAGTCAGACAATGGGACTCATTTCCAGAATAACCTTATAGATATTTGGGCCAAAGAGCATGGCATTGAGTGGGTATATCACATCCCCTACCATGCACCAGCCTCTGGGAAAATCGAACGGTACAATGGGCTGTTAAAAACTACACTGAGAGCAATGGGTGGGGGAACTTTCAAATTGGGATACACATTTACCAAAGGCCACCTGGTTGGTCAACACCAGAGGATCTGCCAACAGGGCCGGCCCAGCCCAGTCAGAACTTTTACATATTGTAGAGGGGGACAAAGTTCCCGTGGTTCATATGAAGAATTTGCTGGGGAAGACAGTCTGGGTTATTCCTGCTTCAGGTAAAGGCAAACCCACTCATGGGATTGCTTTTGCTCAGGGACCTGGATATACTTGGTGGGTAATGCGGGAAGATGGGGAAGTGCGATGTATACCTCAAGGGGATTTGATTTTAGGGGAAAACAGCCAGTGAACTCAATTGTATGCTGTCACCTGCTGTGTAATGCTTTTATAGCCCATCAACTAGATGTCTCCAGGTCACCAGCAACTGGCCCTGACTTCCCTCCAGCCATCATCCCAACAGAGAATGAACTTTGAACATCATGGACCGAATGGACTCGGCAGCATTATAGGGATTGGTCCATGCACTAAGAAAATGATTTTTTCCTCTTGGTCTGTATGTATATGGATGTATATATGTGGGAGAGCGATGGTGTATTCAAAATGTGGGATCTGAGCACGACGTGAATGGTATGGAATAAGGGGTGGATAATGTCCTGGGTTCAGCAGTAGCAGTCATGTTTTTCCTTTGTGTTAACTGGTGCAGTGCTGTGTTTTGACTTCTAGCTTGAGAACAGTGTTGGTGAAGCCGATGTTTTCAGTTGTTGCTAAGTGATGTTTACCCTGACCAAGGACTCTGTGAGGCTCATGCTCTGCCAGGGAGGAGGGGAAGCCGTGAGGAAGCAGAGATGGGGCGCCTGACCCGGGCTAGCCGGGGAGGTATTCCATACCACAGCACGTCATGCCCGGGGTGGGGGTAACTGGGAGTTACCTGGAAGGACAGGGGCTTCCGGGTGGAACTCGCTTTTCTTGGCCAGTGGTATCGTATTCTCTTCCCTTGTTATTTTCCCTTATCATTGTTTTAGCTGATAGTAGTGGTGGTGATTTGTTGCTGGACTGTTCTTGTCTCAACCCGTAGGAGTTGCACTCTCTCGATCCTCCTCCCCGTTCCTCCTCGATTGTTGTCAGCTCGGCACCACTCACTGGGAGTGAGTGAACAAGTTACCTGACTGGGTTTAAACCACGACAGTTGGCAACAATGGAATCTTCTCTTCACACATGCAAACGTCAAGTCTGAATGTACTCTTCTCTCTACCTGCCCTCAGTCTCCATTGCCCTGCACACCTAAGTGGTGGTGAAGAACAATCCCCTGGATTCTGCAGACCTTCTCCTCCTGTCAGCACATGGCTTCACTTCATCTCCAAAATATTTAAAGACTATGACAAGAAATCCTGGATGCCTAGAATGAGAAATCAACCTGCATAAGTGGAACCTAGCAGGTGACTAAGCTGTAAATACCACTGAAAGCAACAGTATCAGAGGTACAGAAAATCTTCCAAACTCGGGCCCTCCTGTCTGTGAATATGACACTAAGGCTCATATACGATGAATGGTGACCCCCACGGCAAGGGGTTGGAACTAGATGATCATAAGGTCCTTTCCAACCCAAACTATTCTATGATTCTATGAATACCATTATACAAGGAAGGACTCTGGAGTCACAGATAAACAGCAAGGACATTTGCCCCACAATATGGCTGGAGTCCCTCTCCAGCCAATATGACTGGGGCAACACCAGCCTTCACTGGCATCTTTTCACCTGGGTTGCCTGGTTTCACACCCTTCACCTCCCACTGCGCCAAAGTCTCAGCAGCAACTGGCTTGGTATTATTTGAGTATTGGTCAACAAACACAGAACATTGTTGTAACCAAAGACAGTTTAGTATTGCCCTTGTCAAACTGCTTGAAACCAGCATCTCTTTTCAAAGAGATCCAGTGAAACCTACTCTATTAGCCATGGCAAAGTCCTTACGAAACTGGGATGTTGAAAAGCTTTTGAGGGTGTCAAGACACTGGAACAGGCTGCCCAGAGAAGTGGTGAATGCTCCATCTCTGGCAGTGTTCAAGACCAGGTTGGACAGAGCCTTGGGCAAAATGGTCGAGTGTGAGGCCATGGCAGGGGGTTGGAACTGGATGATCTTATGGTCCTTTCTAACCCAAACCATTCTGTGATTCTATGATTTTTTTTTTTTTTTCTCAACCCTGGATTCTTTTACACTGTAATATTACTAGCAGCATGGTAATCCCTGCAAATGAGGGGGTGGAGTCTGCCTAATCCTTTCCAAGGTTGGAGATTACACATTTTAGGAACTCAGGATGTTCCTACTTTTGCCCTGAAATGAAGTTTCGACTTGTAGTCCTCTCAGCTCTTGCCTGTGAAAGTGTGGTAGGAGCAGGGCTCCTCTGTAAACTGCTTGCAGGTCTGTGAGATACAGCAAGGAAGGGAGAAGTTGCCTCATGCTCCATGCTTGGGAACATATTGCTGGCCACAATTTGGCCTACAGGTCTTTATAGATTTATCTTAGAATATACCAGACAACAAAATGGGAGGGAATTCCACCCCAGTTACTGAATGACTGCCAAGTGCTGCTCCCACTTGCAGCCAGAACAGACCACAGCTGAACTACAAAAGGAGAAGGGCAGAACTTGATGGGATGGTTCTTGCCAATTTGTAAATACATACATACATGCTGTATCTGAAAATACCCATGTGTCATGATTACCTTCTGTTGCAGATAAGGTGCATCACCACAAACACTGTATGTCAGACCTCCCCTGCTCAGACTGATGCATGCCAAGGCCAAAACCAAGGGAGTTTTACTGCTTCCAAGACAGTGATTTCAGGCCCTTAGTTCAGGGGAAAATCTAGGACCCCTCTTCTACAGCAAATGGCTCCTTCCCTGCCTCTGTTTTAGAGAAGAATGTGCACAGTAAGTAGTAAGATGAAATGAAACCCCATCAACAACAAGCCAAGCATCAGGATGGAAGGCTACAGTGTACAGTATCAAAACCATCATGTCTAGCACACTGCCACAGAAAGCTCATGAAAACACAGGGCAGGAGCTCACACAAAATTGAAACAGTACAACTCTACTGCAAGATGTTAATTTCATCCTCTTTCACTAGGCTGATCAGACAGAAGGGAGCCCAACTTCCCCTTCTGTGGCAGTTCTTCCTTCAGAGAACTTTTCTGGTATGGTTCCATAGACTGAACATTCTCCATTTTCTTTGAACAAATTGTATTACGCTTCTTTCTCATCAGAGTACATAAATTAGCTGAGAGGGAATGGATTCAATTACAATCCAGATTCCAGATCTCTTAAGAACTGACTGCCTGACATATTCCTTTCATTTAAAACAGGAATCAAATGAGGATTATATCACATAAATAATACTCCCTTGATAGGGCAATTCAATAAAATGGCAAAAGTACTCAGACAAAACATGTAGATAAAATATGAGAGCCTCTGATATTACCTACCAGATTTAAAGTACGAACATCACATAAGCTTACGTATCCAGTATTTTTACTTCGCATTGTGAACAAGAATCTGATTCAGAGAATCCTTAAGAGCAAATTTAGTACCTTCTGACTGCCTCAGAAAAAAAGGAAGAACAGCTGAGGAAAAGAGTGTACTGCAGCAAAGTACAGGTTTCCATATTTGAAAGATAATTTGATAGCTCTGCACAAGACACTAACCTGCCCTGCAAAACCCTAATTTACAATCTCCCAAGTGACTAAGAGTAACCATGACCAAGAGTAAGGGCTTCACAAAGCTCTGAGTGAGGCTGTTTCCCAAGCCAACTTGGCCATTAAGAAGGCAGCATTTCGGAACAACTCAAACTGACAAGATGACTTTTAGGAACAATCACTTTTGACACAACTACTCAGCCAGGCTTTCAGGCTGAGAACTAGATATGCCATCTATAATCTGATATTTTTATACCTGCCTAAATGTCTAAGTATCCAGGGAAGAAAGATGTGATGAAAAGGCTTAGATTCAGAGCTTGACAAGGGATCTGAAGATGAAGGCACAAAATGAGTACATACAGTCAAATCATCCTCATTCACAAAAAGCACACATTTTGGGGAAGCTGGGTAGAAAACAAAAAGGCAGAAGAACAACACTACCAAGATGAGGGATGACTATTAAATGTACAATTACCTGTAAGAAAATTCTTTTCAGATTACTGAGGAGTGGCTGAAGACACTTTTGATGACAGCCTACATAATTACAACTTGTTGAATTCTAAAGCTGTATTTAACCTGGCACACAGCTACAAATACAGAAGCCAGCAGGTGAAGTTCAAATTGAACTTCAACCCAGAAACTGGATCTTCTTATCTACTCAATGAAAAAGGTTTTCAGGGGACATGGTAAGTTCTCTGCCAATGAGACTCTTGAAATCAGTACAGTACGAGCCAAGTCTTGGGCTTCTTTGTGCCTGTCCAACAAATAACATTCTGTCCAATAACATTTTCAACGTTAACCATGACAGACATGGTGGAAATGAAATGTGCTGCTCTGAAGATACCTACCTGATGCAATAGAGGTTTTCTGTGAGGTGATGGGGCTTTTACAAAAAGCCAGTTTGTACATGTAATGCAGCAAGAACCACATCATTTAATCATAAACTAAACATTTTTTTCTTTAGCCAGTGTCCAATGTTCTAAGACTTCAGCATATCTAGGTATTGTTATATAAATAAATATGTCTATATCTATATATATATAATTGTAACAGAACCTCCTTAACTAGAATGCATACATTCTTACCTATGTATATGAATAGAACAAAAGTAGCCCTCCTGGCACTGTGCACACTTCATATACACTTTATGTTCAGCTGTAAGATTCAAATGCAGTTTTGCATGGGTTATGTTCTAGCTATAAAACCCCATATATAAGTATATACCCCCCCCCCTTTTTTTAACAAAGAGGTTAAACAAATTATCACCTGCAGCTATATTATACCACTAAAAGGAATGAATACACTAAGCTGTCTATGAAGCTTGCAGTGTACCCTAGTTTTGACACAAGGGAAGGAAGAAGAGGTTGAAGCATACATCAGATGAAACTTTTTCAACTCAGAATAACCAGGACGAAGCACACCTACTGGATACAGCAGAGATGTTTCCTATTAGATATGACAACAATAATTGAAAAAGGCTTATACATGAGTCACTAATAAAATCCTAATATGTAGAAAGGCCATCATATGCAAAGCAGGCACAATGTTGTGTTCACTCCTGTTCTTAATTTGGTCATAAACAGATACTGTCTGATCCATCCTGGCAATTCAAAGCAGAAAATCAGGTGTGTTACTTCCCACCTCAGGCAGTGCTGAGAGGCTTCAGTATCTCTGCCTCATTGCTGACATCCGCTGTCCTGTGAATGAATCATGCAAAACCTTCACCAGCCCACTTGTCCCTTCCAAAAACCATTTCTGCTTTCTCCCTCTAGAACACATGCCAGAATTTGACTCAACAGTATTTGCAGTGATTTACATTGCTGAAAACCACTCTTAGAAGATGGACAAAAGGCATTAACTCCCTTGTACTGGACATCTTTCCACCAGGAGATAGCGACTGCACATGACGCTGCTGCTAGTTATTGACACTTCTGCCCTTCTAAGATGTGTACCATCTCCTTCCCCCTGCTGAATAGCACCTGCCTGCAGTAGCACACACTGCTTTAGTGCCAAGCACGATCGCAGGCCTCACTCAGACTGCAAGCTTGGCTGCACCAAGCCTCTTCAATTTGGCCTTCACCAAAAGAAGTGCACACACATCTCTCAGACTCAGGCACAGGATGAGTTTTAAAGAAAACAAATTATTCAGGAAGAAGTTCATCAATGATGTTTCCTGTTAGTCACAGGTAACACACAATCTTACATGCCACCGGAAGACTTTTGCAGGTGGCCCACTTTCAAAGCAAAACATCCTCCACAGACTCTGTGGAGAGCAGTCAAAGCTGGAAACGTTCCAGCAATTGCTGCCTGCAGCAATGTGGCTGATGGCACTCAGGAGGCATGCTAACACTGATCAGAGCATGTCCCAGAATCATAGAATTGTTTGGGTTGGAAAGGACACTGGACCATGCTGCCTAAGGCCCTGTTCAGCCTGACATTGAACGCTGGCAGGGATGGAGCATTTGCTACTTCTCTGAGCAACCTGTTCCAGTTCCTCACCACCCTCATCGTAAAGAACTTCTTCCTTATACTTAACCTGAACTTCCCCTGTTTCAAACTCATTATCCCTGATGAAGAGTCCCTCTCTGGCATCCATATTGCTACTTACAGACTCCTCAGGGTAGTGAGAGATGCAGAGAGAGGCAATGGTTGTAATGTCCTTGTTAAATTTTATGCTCTGAACCAAATAAATATGGCAGAGACCCTTCTTAAAGCTATCCTCTACAACTAATTCTGATCTGTTATGTTTGCCTTTCAGTGAAAATCACTTCCATAAGCTATCTCCCTACATAAAAAAAAAAAAGTATGTCTTTCTTGGTAGATCTCCTACATGCAAATAAATGAAAACAAAGTCAAGATAAATACCTCAGGTCAGTTTTTCGAGGTAAAGGTCTTTTCTTCCCACTGAAGCAGACTTTCAAGTCATCTGTTGTCAGTCTGTGCACAGAGACAATGTGTGCAGACACCTCCTGGCAATACAAACGAGTATTTCCATCACAAAGGAAGATTTGTGAATTTTTTTGTGTGTGTGTGTCCTCGTGAAATCAGAAAGGACACCTCTGTGAAAACATGAAGGTGGCCACAAATGAAGAACAGAAACATAGATATGTGTGCTGATTTCTCTATAGAAACATATTTAGAGACTATATAAACATTTTCAACTTTACCTGGACCAGGCTTCTGTTAGGAGTTAAGACACCTAAATTATGGCATATTAAGGCATATTCTTAACACAAGCTTGGCAGCATTGCAGTAAAAACCATATACAAATGCAGTGTGAACGCAATATGCCCTTGTGCATTCCCCATGTCTCCTGCTGCCACTTGGGAAAGGTCTTCCTGCAGGTCCCAGGCCATCTCTGCCAGCCCCACACACAATCCTGAAGCAGTCTAATGCTGTTGGACACCTAGTTTGCACAAGGGTGACTCTGTCTGGCTATTCTACAATGCTACTGTCCATGCAGTAATCACTAGACTCAAAAAAGAAGAGTGAAAATGCAATTAGATTTGGGATGCACCTCTACAGCCAAACTAAAACTTATTCAACTTAATATTCACAGCAGATTTTCAGCTGTTTGGAAAGATGACAACTGGAAAATGGTTACCATACACCTCTCTGCTCTGTGCTACGACTAGAGAACCAAGCAGAAACAAGCAGACTGCACTAGCCCTCTCTCTTGCCAAACGACCACTGTATTGTTTTGTTCCTAACAGCTAATGGGTTGCAGAACA